CAGGGACATGAAGGACAAATATGGACCTCCCCAAAGAACACATTACTCCAGAAGTACTTAAATTGTCATCTGTATGCTGCAAGTGCATTTGTCAGCCCTATTCTAGGGACCACTACACAAACTTACTGTCTGTTCTTCTGGAGACCCTCAATGGCAGGAATTCTATCATCTAGAGTAGACTACATTTTTCTCTAAAAATCATCATATTGTATCTTGTGGGTAGCATATAAAGGCAAGCCATTCAGCTAGGTAATTCTGAAAGTTAAAACAATAAATAAAGCTATAAAACAAAGAGGCTGACTTCTGTAGCAAACCTACGGGGTAGCTGCTCAAACACACCCACCCTAGGACCTCTGGATTTAATTTTACCCTTACTTTCTGAAATCCTCATTTAATGTATGAGTCCTGTCCTTTACAGAGTTAAAGGGCAATTTAAACAGGCCTTCCCTTCAACAGCTCAGTGCAGAATGGTCCATCTGAATACTTGCATTTGTTCAAATCTGGATTGAGTTTTAATGATCCATTTAATAACACAATTTAACAACTGTTTTGTAACTGTTTAAGCTCTCCTTCTAAACCTGCTGCCCAATATTGCAACCACTGAATAAACACTACTATATAAATTTAAATTCAAGTTAATTATGATGAAATCAAATTAAAGAAAAACAGCAAGTTAGATTTCACCCAATGAAGAACTTTTGTTCTTAGGAAAGCAAGGCCAAAGAAATAAAAGTACAGGTCACAGACAGAGAGGAAATCTTTTGAAAATCACACACCCAATAAAGGATTTGAAGCCAGAATGTATAAAGTACTCTTAAATGTCAGTGATAAAAAAGCTCACAAAGCAACGAAAGCTGGAAAGGTATTTAAATAGATAATTAACCAGAGATGATGTGTGGACGGTAAATGCAAGATCACTGAGGATGTACAAATCCAGATGAAGTGGTACTACTAACTACATCACGCCCTCTAGGAGAACTAACTCAAGAGAGATGACAACAGGTGTTGGTGAGCATGTGTCGATCTGGATATCCCACACTGCTACTGGAACTATAAATTCACTTCAGAATAAAGCAAACGGTTTCTCAAAGAGTCAAGTATACGGCTAACTATGACCCAGCCAATCCATGCTTAAATATTTACACTCCCCCCGAAAGCATAGGTCAATGTGGAGTTGTGAATGAAGGTTCTCCCCAGCTTCACTTGTAACAGCCAAGAAGCAAATGAATGGGGACATAAATGTCAGACGCATGGATAAGTGTACCATAGACCGAGCATCCCTCCTTCCCAACCCTGGCATCCGAAATGACTGCCTCAAACTCTGAAACTTTCTGCTTGCTGATGTAAGGCATAAGAAGAACACTTTATGCCACATCTCCTGTGATGGGCTGAGGGCATTATACAGGCACACTAAAAACAATGAACAAAATGAACTTTAGATTATGCAGGTAAGAGATGTGAACTAATTTTATATTAAGACCTGAATGCCACCCATGAGGTATCTCATTTTGTATAACCAAACAACTCAAAATCTAAAGCATATGAGATCTGAAACTTCCATGTTAAGATATTGCGTCTTTACAGCTCATCAATGAGAGGCATGGACACATACAAGTAGCCATAGGTGGATCTGAAGATTATATCTAGTGAAAAGAAGGTAAAAATAAAAATAAAGATAAGATTTCACTTATATAAGCTGAAAATGCACACTTAATCTGTAATGACATAAAGCAGATGGGTGATTTCTTGGAAGATCCTTATTTTCTAAGTGCATACATACATCAAACCTTAGATTTATAAATTCTAAATATGTGAGATTATTGTTGATCAGTTAAACGTCAAGAGGGATCTTCAGGGTACCAGCCACATTTCAGGAGCTGGACAGGCACATGTGGTTACCAGCTACCAGACACTGAGGATGAACAAGCTTCATCACCTGACCAGGTCCCACTCAAACAACAATGCTCCAGACCAGGGGGCAGGAACTACAGGATATGTTTATTTTGTTGTTATTGTATGTGTGTATGATATATACGGTATATATATGTGCACATACACACACCTGTACCCTATGTGTGTGGAGGTCACAAACAACTTGGTGGAATCAGTTCTCTCCTTCTGTGTTAGAGTGGGTTCTGGGCATCAACATCAGGCTCCCAAGCTTGCTGACCACGTGCGTTTACCTGACGAGCCATTCCACTGACCTCCACTACATGTCCTTATACATAAAATTCTGCTGGAGCACAGTCAAGCCCGCTCACTTATATAGTGTCTATTCTATTTCAGAGCTGTAGGAGACTATAAGGCTGGTAAACCTTAAGTATTTACTGTTTCCTTAAGGCTTGGTGATCCTTGTCTTACAGATAAAATTCTAAGGACAGGCGCCACATTGTTCCTGTTCTTTGCTTGTCATGACCCAAGGAATGCTTATGAAACAACTACTCTATGGCAGGTCCCACTCTAGCCTTGAAGACACAGTTGGGAGGGAGGCAGGTAACGGGAAAGAAATGCCAAGAGGAGAAATGCCAAGAGCAATGAATTCTAGGACAACCAATAAAGCAGAACGCCCAGAGCATGACAGGAGGTGGATTCCATTTACACAGGAAGGAGAGAGAGAGGGAGAGAGGAAGGGAAAGAGGGAGAGAGTGAAAGAGGGAAGAGGGAGGGAGGGAGACCCCTCCAGAAGTCCCAAGATTTGAACAACATGAAAAAAAAAAGAAAAATCAACCAACAACTCTTCGGGCAGACATAAAGGGAATAATATCAATTCCTCAAAATAGGAATGAATTTGACTTAGTGTATAAAAATGAAGGCCCAGGAGGCTGAAGAACATACAAAGGAGGGAGGGTAAAGGAGTGGGAGAAGTAGATGGGACCAAGGAAAAGTATCCAAGTTTTACAAGGCATGCAAAATGAATTTCCTTCAGAACTGTAAGCAAATGAATATCATCATCAATTCAAAGGAAAAAAAAAACCCCACCACCCATTCTGGTACTGCTAAATTCAGATGGGTCACAGAAAGACACGGAGGTGTCAGAGGGAGTTTGTGCAAAGGCACAGGTTAGAGATGGGTACCAGGCAGCCTGGGCTGCAGTGGAAACCGTGCAGGACGGAGTGGAGAAGTTTGGGACACTTTGGAAAGGTGGTAGCCGTTGCGATGGATTAGCTGTTGCAGACTGAGGAAAGGTGCTGAAAGCCATCCTAGATGACGGCATGAGTAACCCGGAACACGAGTGTTGTGAATTACAAACATGGGAAAATGCACACTAGGGCTAACATTATTGTGCCTATGTGCCATCATTCACTCAATGTTCTCAACAGTCTTGGGGAGTAGAGATGGATGTGGAAATGTACTAGCTCCTCATGTTTTCTAACGAAGGACACCGTCCTAGAGATAGTGGCTGTTCTGAGACAACAGAGCACAGGGAAAAGGACACAGCCTCCCTTCCGCTATGGGACAAGTGCGGCTTGAAAATGATAAAGCTACCCTTTAAGGCTCCCTCCCCTCCCCTCCGCCCCTTGCTAGCATACTTAATCATCCTCGGGGGCGGGGCCACAGTCTTTAAGAAAACAAATGCTTGATTCTTTCCAATTCCTTAGGTTTACGAAACCAAAACGCTTTAAATCTATGCCAATTGCCTAGTGTTCATCTACCATCCTAAATTAAGAAATGCATTCTGACAATTTTACGTTTTATTTAGAAAAACCGGTTTACACACACACACCACACACACAGACACACAGACACACACACACACACACACACGAGAGAGAGAGAGAGAGAGAGAGAGAGAGAGAGAGAGAGAGAGAGAG